TAGAAACTAAACGTAGGCAAAAACTGGTTAAACATAGCAAAAGGATATCTATAAGTTAAAAGTAGCAAAAGAAGCTAAAATTAGCAAATGGCTGGTTAAAAGCTAAATGTAGCAAAAGGCTGGTTAAAAGCTAAATGTTGCAAAAGGCTAGCTACAAGCTAAACGTAGGCAAAACCTGGTTAAATGTAGCAAAAGGATAGGTATAAGTTAAAAGTAGCAAAAGAAGCTAAACTTAGCAAATAGATGACTTAAAGCTAAACAAATGACTAAATATAGCAAACATGTCCTGATGCATGCTCAATAAACCAGGCAGATGAATCTAACCAGGTTGAGTCAGGTCCTCTGGATGGATTCTTCTTTGTTGAAACATTTCATCTTTTATCCAAAAGACTTCTTCAGTCTGAGGAGGAACCCTTCCAGAGGACCTGACTCAACCGAAACAAACAGAAGTCATAGCACCTATCTTCTGAATGAGCTGAATGTTTCCATAGACTGACAGGAAAAAGATCTCAGGATGTCATCTTGATGCACCTTTTGTCGTACTCCAGTTTCCCACAGTCCCACAGCTGAACGAGTCCAGGCTCTTCATAAGTTTGGTTCACTAAGTGCGAGTCGTCCATCCCTTGATGACACGCCAGAGCAACGTACTGGGTGGCTGGAGCACCGTCGGGGGTCGGACACCACTCTGCGGCCCAGAGGGGTCCACCAGTAAACAGAAACATGTCCCAGCGATCGTTGTGCGCTGGAACAGACTTAAACCTGCCGGGAACATTAACGTGAACAAATCAGCATTTGTTCTAAATCAGCCAGAACCAAACGGCTCAGTGGTCTCACCTGCTGAGTCTGAGCTCAGGTGTTTCCTCCTTCGACAGAGCTTCTCTGGACACTTTGAATGCAGCTGACTGAGTTTCCTGAGGCAGGTATTTCTCCAAATCACTAAAATCAGAAATACATATCTTTCACACGTCTCACCTGAAACTACATCTTAACATGTCAGACCACTACAAATCTTTAATTTCAGTAAAAAAAAATAAAAAAAAATCTTAACCTGCTCATAAAATCATTTCTTTTGTGAGTTATGTCTAAGAGAAGTAATGTGAAATAAATGACAGCTCAAACAATAAACATATCATTTTAGTTTTTTACAGAAGTCACGGCAAATTAAGTAATAATTTAAAAATTACAAGCCGAACCTTAACTGCACCATCAACTCTTTTTTATTTCAGCTACATAGTTAAAGATTTTCAAAGAGAGGGGGATTCACCACCGGTTTTTGTTTAAAAGTGTTTCTTTAAGTTGTTAAATTAATGAGATGTGACACCTTTATATTTGGCGAGCCTTTACCTGCACTACTACAATGATCACATACCACCACAAACATTCTGCTAATTATTTCACCACCAGAACTTCCCACAAAAATAAAACAAATAAACAGAAATCTTTTTTTACTACAGTAAATAAATAATAGCAACAACCTTTCTGGCACCGGGTCCCATTCTTTGGTGGAAGGAACCCATTCTGGGAACACCCAGCTGGTGTAATTCTCTTCTCGGCTAAAGCCACAAAACACACAAAGAGAAAACAACAATCAGCTAAACAATCAAGTAGCAAGAGTTTTTATTTTAACTCTATTCTGTTCTTCAGGGTATTTTAATTTAAGAAAAAAGTCCCAGTGCAGAGCTTACTTCTACAATATTTTAAGGTTGTAATGGTCACTGACCGATTAATACAGCGTTAGATGTATTTCCATTTTTTTTTATTTTATATATTGTCTACGCTGCAAACTATGACCATTTATTATTAATTATTGTCCCCTGTAAGGTAATGTTTGTGTTCTGAATGGAAGTTTGAACTTGTTTATTTGTTTGTGTAAATTTGTCTGTGTAAAAATACGTTTTGGGGAAGAGAGCTTAAAAGGAGGAGGAAGTGACCGCGTCGGCCTCTCTTGCCTTGGAGTGCGCACCTGCCGAGGAGGATTTAGCGTGAGGCCGTTGCCCTGGACTGCCTGTGGACCGTTTATCACCCTGAGTTGGGATCGCGGGGGATCAGTAACTTTTTCTTACCCAGGACTGCAGGGGAGGCACGCTAAATGGACCTTGAGTTTCTGGTGAGATCGCTTCTTTTTATTTCGGCGCGCCGACGCCTGGATGGATTGAGTAGGCGTTTCCCTCATCCCACTTGAAACAAACTTTCCTTCTAAGAGAACATTCGGACTGAAAGTTGGTGCAGCTTGGTTTTTGATTTATGGGGTTTGTCTGCAGATATGTAAATGTTGGGGGGGAATGAAGCGTTCGGGTTGTTTATGTGCACAACTGATGTGTTTGTTTAAATTGTGTAAAGGGCATTAAATGTTAGCCTGCGTGGCCAATATCAGCAGTTGTTTATGAGAGTTTTTTTTTTTTTGCATGTGGGGTGAATTATTTTCTGTTTATTAGGTTATGCTTTCTACTCAACCATTATAAGTTTTAAGCACCGTCAGCTTCAGACACTGCCCGTGACGTATTTAGCGTTATGTAATTAATCCCCCTATCATCGCAACGGTGGGGGCAGGTTGTTACAAGGTTAGACTAAAATTAATTGTGTGGATGCTAAATTAATATTATTATTATTATTATAAACCTTTCTTTTTTTCAGTCTATTTCTGCACTTTGTGATGTTTAAGCCATTTATTTATTAAAACATGTTCATTCTGAAGACAGGCGGCTTCTGTTTTGTATAACTTTTATACTTTTCAACAGTTTTATTTACAAGTACTTTCCTCTTTAATTCATTCAAAAACATTGTCCTCTTGAAAATCTGTTTCAGTTAGCTACACTTAGCTTTTAGCTATAGTTCTGCTAAATTTAGTTGTTAACTAAACTTAATTATTAGCCAGTTTTTTAGCAACTTTAACATAGCCTTTTGCTAGTTTAAGGTAGCTTTTTGCTAATTTTAGGTTTTAGCCATTTGTGCTACTTTTAGCTGTTATCTAAACTTAGTTGTTAGACAGTTTTTTGCAACTTTAAGCTAGCCTTTTGCTACTTTTTAGGTAGCCTTTTGCTACTTTTAATTTAGATAAGACTTTTGCTAGTTTAAGGAAGCTTTTTGCTAATTTTAGCTATTAGCCAGTCATGCTACTTTTAGCTGTAATCTACACTTTATTAGCCAGTTTTTTTGCAACTTTAAGTTAGCCTTGTGCTACTTTTTAGGTAGCTCTTTGCTACTTTGAGTTTAGATAACCTTTTGCTAGTTTAAAATAGCCTTTTGTGAATTTTAGCTTTTAGTCAGTTGCGCTACTTTTAGGTCGTGCTTTTAACTATAATTTAGCTCCTTTTAACATTTAGCTAATGTTCTGCTTGTTTCGGCTTTTATCTAGTGTTCTGCTTCCTTTAGCATCTACCAAGTATTTTGCTAGATTTAGCTTTTACCCATATTTGTGTTAGTTTTAGCTATCATTTTGCTGCTTTTAGCATTTAGCTAATGTTCTGCTTATTTCAGCTTTTATTTAGTGTTCTGCTACCTTTAGAGTCTGCAAAGCCTTTTGCTAGATTTAGCTTTTAGTCAGCCTTGTGTTACTTTTAACCATCATTTAGTCACTTTTGGTTTTTAGTCAGTATTTTGCTTGGTTTTGCGAACATTAGCTAATGTTCAACTTGCTTTAAATTTTCGCTAATGTTTAGCTTCTTTTAGTTTTAAATAAGTTTTAGCTTCTTTAAAAAGTCGCTCATTGATCGGCACTAGCACTGCTTTTCTTTTTGCAGAAAATAAAATTTCTGTAGTTTGAAACTTTTATCTGAGTTTTGAAAAATCTTTGTGAAAAGTGAAGCACAATCACAGTGAGGGGACAGACTGTTCTGTATTATTAGTAATAATAACAGTTACGGTAAAAAAACATCAGTTAAACTTTCAGAAAGAGCTGCACTGTCCCTTAACTAAGAGTCTTCCTGATGCTGTCGCTCTGCAGGGGAATCACGAGTCGAAACAAACGAAGCATGCTTCAGAAGCTACTTACAACTTTTTTGTTGTTTCGGACGAGTCCCAAATCGTTTGGATAATATTAAAATCTACTCCATTTATGGGTTTTGTATCGGAGGATGTCTGCAGGAGAAAAGCAACATAGATGAGTATTTTTCCTGCAAGGTGAAACTTTTGAATGATTCATTTGGAAACGATAAAAGTTGCAAAAGTCCTCTTGAAAAACTCAAACAGAGATTGATGAGACGGACAAACGATGGCTCCGAACTTTAAATCAGACAAGCTCAGACTGTGACACCAATTTCAAAGAAATGCTGTAAAGGTGAGAGACCTGCTTACATGTCTGTTGACGTGAACAACTGCTGGACGTCTCATGTGCGCCTCAAAGTCAGAGTCGGAATCGGAGTCCTCGTTTTCTTCAAACTCATCTTCCATCTCATCAGCCTCTTCATCATCATTTGGCACAAAGTCTTCATCCTCTCCAGAGTCACTGTCGAGACGTTTTCTTTTTCGGCCTAAAAACAGAATTACACATGAGAACATGCAGAGGTGAAGCAGACTCAGGAGTTAACAAACCTAAAGAGACCAGATGAGACATGTCTAAATAAAATATTTGCCTACAGCCTGCACCAAACCATTAATACACTCAGTGTTGATGCATGGACAGGCATGTCACGGTATTCCCTCCCTCACCAAGAGGAGTTATCAGGAGTGGGGAGGATGAGGGGTTCGGTTGGTGCTTGTTCCAGCAGTCAGCAGGTCCTCAGCCCACCACAGGTACAACCACCTAACATGCATGTTTTTGGACTGTGGGACAAAACTGGAGAACCCTGAAAGCCTCAGCCGGCAGTTCAACCCTGGATGCTCTTGCTGCGAGACAACGCTCCACCGTGCAGCCAAATGCAAACATCTTAAATAGTATTGTATATAAAAATATGCTGAGAAGTACAACAGTACATTTTAACTCTAAAATAATGTCTGAAAAAATTTTAAAACTACAAAAGTGGTGGCAAAGCAGTGGTCAGCACTGACAGCAGGAAGGCTGCAGGTTCAAGTCTGGACTGCTGGAGTTTGCATGTTCTCCTTATGCATGCATGGGTTTTGTCCAGGTACTGCAGTTTTCTCCCCAAAATATGCACACTGGGTTAACTGGCAACTCTAAAATGTCACTAGATGTGAGTGCAACAGGGTGTACCACACACTGGCTGCTGGAAACAGGCAGTGCTTTTCCAACGTGAAAATGAAATTTCGATATATATATATATATATATATATATGCAGTAATCTGTCATTGGAGAGCTCGTTCAGTGACAGATTACTGCATCCTAAAAGCACAAAGGAGCGTTACCGCAGGTCCTTCCTCCCAGCAGCTGTTAGACTCTAAAACCATCACTGCTCCCAACAAACGCAATAAGTATTAAATACATGCTGACCTCTGATAAAGTACACACTCTGCCTATACTACTGTACTGTAAATAGTCTGCCATTCTCAATGTTCAATACATATTGAACATTACTGAACATTATTATTGTTATTGTTTATATTATTTCTTTATATATTGATTTTAACATTTAAGAAATTTTCGTGTGAATCTTTTTATCTGTTGCTGCTGTTACACTTGAATTTCCCATCCATGGAACAATAAAGGTTGTTTCTATTCTATTCTATTCTATTCTATTCTATTCTATTCTATATATAAAAATGGTTAGATGGGTAAATATATTGTAGCAGAACTTTAAAAGGCACATGAAGACCCATGAAACTGCACAATATTTTTCTCATATTGAAGGTTAATGTGTGCCCATTTAAAATAACTTGTAAGCTCAATTTGTAAACGGCTCCCTACCAAGAAACAAAAAGACTGAAAACAGATCAATTTATTTATCGGTTGGGGACGTGCAGATGAATAAAAGGGGCAGAAGATCGGAGCTGGGGGGGTGTTTGTCCTTTCATGGCCATAAAAGATAATTTAATCCCTGCTTCTGCTGCATTCTGATTTATTCACAGACCCTGCTCTGACACACGTCTGCTTTGGGATCTCACCTGTTTGGGTCGTCAGCCGCGAGCGTCCGCTCAGTGCAGCGGCTGAACGTCCATCTGAGCGATGGATCTCTGCCTGGCAGTACAGTCCCATCTGAAGCGTAACTGAACTTAAGATAATAACTTAGATACAGATAACAACTTTTTAACTCTTTCAAGTCCGCTCAGCTCGCGGTGAAATGGCTGCGTACGGCTGGCAGGCCATGTTATCATATAATTGGATCGTGACTGATCTTGACCCAATTAAAAGCCCGACACCGACCCGGCTTGCCCATCCAGCACATTATCATGGCCCGGCCCGCCAAATTTGGGTCGGGTGGGACTGGGCTTAGGGCTCGGGTTAGAAATGACAGCTCTAGTATGGCAGCACTGATGGGAGCTCCGCTTCGACTCGCTTTTTTTTGTTCCTTTTGTTTTAACTTATTTTGCATCTACACTGTACACCCACGCTACGGGTATGACCGCGACACACTTTTGGAGTTTTCTGTGTCACTACTTTCAATCAATCAACCTTTATTTATACAGGTAAATCCCATTGAGCCTCGAGGACTCATTTACAAGAGAGACCTGATTTCAACAAAGAAAGATGACAACAATGGACAACAGCAACAACAATAAGCAGTTATAAAAACTCATACTACAGTTTTTTTTTTTTTTTTTTTGCCATTTTGCCATCGATGTTCAGTTCCCGGCCCCCTTCCAGCCTTGGGCTCAGGCTCTGGCCTGTCATGGCGGCCGTCAGTATGATCCTCCATCTGCCTGCATGGATCAAACTCTGCTAACAGTACCATGTTGCTAATAGGACCATGCTGCTAAAAGAACCACTCTACTAATAGGACCATGCTGCTAACAGTACCATGTTGCTAATAGGACCATACCATACCATACCAATTTATTTATATAGCACTTAAAACAGCAACAAGGCCAACCAAAGTGCTGTACAAAAGAACCAAACATGCACAGCAGACAGGAAAACATAAAATAGAAATACAGATACAAATAGCAGCAGAAGCTAACTAAAATGGCCAACAGAGTAGAGAACAGACCGGACCAAAACAAATCACACCGTGTTAAAGGCAAGCGAATAGAAGTGGGTCTTCAAGCGAGACTTAAAGACTGAGAGTGTGGGGGCCTGCCGGACACTCAGTGGCAACTCATTCCACAGTCGTGGACCTGCAACAGAGAAAGCCCTGTCACCTCTGAGCTTACGACGGGTTTCTGGGACTGAGAGAAGCATCTGGTCTGCTGACCTCAGAGAGCGCGGTGGGACATATGGCTGCAGAAGATCAGTGAGATAGGATGGGGCTGCTAACAGTACCATGTTGCTAATAGGACCATGCTGCTAACAGTACCATGTTGCTAATAGGACCATGCCACTAACAGTACCATGTTGCTAATAGGACCATGCCACTAACAGTACCATGTTGCTAATAGGACCATGCTGCTAACAGTATCATGTTGCTAATAGGACCATGCCGCTAACAGTACCATGTTGCTAATAGGACCATGCCACTAACAGTACCATGTTGCTAATAGGACCATGCTGCTAACAGTACCATGTTGCTAATAGGACCATGCCGCTAACAGTACCATGTTGCTAAATAGGACCATGCTGCTAACAGTACCATGTTGCTAATAGGGCCATGCTGCTAACAGAACCACTCTACTAATAGGACCATGCTGCTAACAGTACCATGTTGCTAATAGGACCATGCTGCTAACAGAACCACTCTACTAATAGGACCATGCCGCTAACAGTACCATGTTGCTAATAGGACCATGCTGCTAACAGAACCACTCTACTAATAGGACCATGCTGCTAACAGTAC